ATTATATTTATGACTATAAGAACAATTAATGATTGAGTAATGATTATGTTTGTTTCATATATAGTCAAAATTACCTCTATAATGAATAACTTGTTTATTTTTCTTGTAATTTTCGCTTACTATCTTATTCAAGTAGTAATCGAATTAATATTGATCACATCTAATTTTGACATTTGCACCTACGGCTAATTTATTTGTAAGTAATTCAAATTGTAAACAATAATTATTTTTTATGGAATTATAAGCTATGATAGTTTAATTTGCAATATTAGTCATAAAAGCATTAAATGCACTAGTGCTGTATTTAATTAATTCAATTTACCTGATTACATGCACAGGTTTTATTAGATACAAGTGCTAAGATAAAAACTGCTATGTCTTGATCATTATTCAATGTTGCATTAAAAAAATCATAACACTTCAATTATTCATTTAACTTTAGCCTATTAAAAATTCAACTAGTATGAATAATTTTATAAACTTAAATTTTTGTAGCTTCGAGATAATACACTGTTTTGTTGCCGTTATGATTAATGAATATAATAAAAATTAATAAAATTACCAATGTATCTTATTTTTACTTATATAACTTGCAAAAAGCCTTTGTGAACCTTTGTTTGATATTTCATTGCAATTAGTAATTAAGCTTTCAGTTATTTCATAATAATGAAAATATAAGAGCGGTCTAAATCTAATTTTAAATTAGAAAAAATAAAAATCAACTTTCACTTTTAGAAAAAGTTCCTATTATCTCATTTACTTCATGATCTTATTTGTTAATTGGTCCATCCGACCAGATTGTTATATAAATTGTGTTAAGATTACCTTTTGAAGGATATATGATCTTTCTGAAACAATCCGTTCAAATAATTTAAATCTATTAATCATTGACCATGATTCCTTTTACTATGATCATGAGTTGCGAACATGGACGTAGATATACAGTGTGATCAAAATTATTTGAAAAATGATTGTCATCAATCTCTTTGCGACGAGCCTCTAAATTAAAATGGCTGCTACTACCTTCTGTGACCAATGACAAATGATCTTATCTTATTGGAACAGGGGCATATATTCTGCCAAAAAAATATATACAGCAACAAAAATACCAACTTCAACTATCTATTACAACCTAAAAAAGCTCGGGAAAACTGGGAAAGTAACACAGTCAAAAGGGGCGGGTCGTCCAAAGGTATTTTCGCGAGAAATATCACAAAAAATCAGGCGGCAAATCCAAAAAAAGCCTTCCATATCAACAAGAAGTTTGGTGGCAGAATTTGGTGGAACAGTATCTCAATCGACTGTTTTATGACATTTGTGGGATCGCGACTATAAAAATGATGTCCCAAAAGCTTTACCAATGCTTACCTTACAACATAAAGAGAAATGGGTGGAGTGGGCCAAAAAACATGAACGACAATTGGAACAAACCTTTTACAGATGAAGCTGCATTCCAACTCTTCCGTAACACAATTAGTCAGTGGCATAAGGGTCCAAGACTGGCTCGTCAAATTCCTAAAGATAGGAGAAAAATCTTTACATGGGGTGGTTTTGTAAAGCGGGTAAAGTTGATTTTTTTTGTTTTAGAGAACAATGAATGCCGAATTTTATGTAGATATTTTAAAAAATAATATTGCGGACATTAATATTCTTCTGGGAAGAAAATGGAGGTTTCAACAGAATAACGATCCAAAACATACGAGCCATCTTTGCAAAGTCTTACTCGAATCGAATGTCCCGAAGTTATTGGTTGGCCATCTTGTAGCCCGGACTTAAATCTAATTGAAACCTATGGAATATAGTCAAAAGAAATGTAGAAAAAAGAAAACCAAAAAATTTGGACCAATTTGAATCATTTATGAAGGAGGAATGGAATTTAATTCCAAATGATACATTAGAGAATTTAGTACAATCGATGAAACGAAGATGTATGCAGTAATAGAGCGAAAGGCGATACTATTATTAATTTTCTTTAACAAAATACATGTTTTATCTTTCAAATAAATATATTTTATTATAATTGGTTTGGTGATTGCGGAGTAATAATAAATTTATTTTTCTAAATAATTTTGAATTACACTGTATGTACATATAAAACGCATATTTAATGCATCGAAATGATTTTTACACACAAATAGAAATTTTTATCACATCAAACACATGAACCTAATTTTCAGCATTGTAAGTTGTTCATGAAATTCATTTAACGGTACTGTATCTACTTGCTAGCCATAATAATACGAGACATACATGTAAATAAAAACTTATTTTTGCTTTTTATAAATAATTACATCTAAAAAGTGTATTAAATGTATTATTTATGACTATATTTTTTTATATGTCAAATTAATAATAAAATTATTAGATATTAAATTGAGTTATGATATGGGACAAGAATTTCATGGGTAGCAAATAGAGCTATAAGGCATCATACCTATTTCCATGCACTTTTTTTAGTATATAAAATTTTTTTGCTAAAATTTTTTAATATTAATCTATAACAAATATGATATTTAATTATAGAAATTATTTATTTATTAAATATAAAAAAAATGAAATAATATAAATTAAAAATTATCTCTTTAATTCTGATTTTAACTCTAACCATCCTATTTGAGTACACCTATAATATTTTTTATTATATACATAATTAAATTGATATTTGTTATTTACATATTTTTTTTAGATATATTTAATTCATAGCATGATTAATAAACCCAATTTTGTGTTATTCCTTTATGTATTATATTATGTCTAAATAAAATCTTTATAATAAAATTTTCAAGTTATTGCATAAAATATATTCATGATTTATATTTTTATCATAAAATATTGCTGAAAAGTATAAATATAATCAATTTTTATTCAATTAATAGTCTGAATTTTGCAATTTTTACATCACATATCGAGGGAGATTTTTAAATGAGATTAAAATTACCTTGAAATTTGAAAAGGATAAACTTCGTCTCATTATAAAATTAAAAATTTTAATCCATATGAATTCCTATTGATGTTGTTAATATACTAAAATTGAAACTGTAGAGTCCATATTATCGTTAATAGTTCTTTACTAATTGATTAATCTGAATAAAAATGGTTTAGTTTTCGTTAAATCATTTTTTGATCTAAGATTCTTCATTTTGAGCTTAATGATATTCCTGATAATAACATTATCAATTCTTATGAAATATCAATTTTCATACATATTTAAGTTAAAAAATAATGATTTTAAGAATTTGAAACATATTTTACATTAGAGCAAGTACGTGATAATCCTATATCAAAAAGCTCATTTTGGAACAAGATTATTAATATTATTATCATTGATATTTTATTGCCATATTGTGTTCATAATATTTGATTAAGGTTTTTTAATTTCTAATGATCTTACTAATCAAAAATAATAAAAATTTCTATCAAATCACAAAGAAAAAATCATCTTTTTTCGCAAAATGGCTAGCATCTATAATCATTTCAAACTTTTATAATTGCGGCACATAACCCATAAAAATATCTTATAAAGTGAATGATAGAAATGTAAACTCATTGCATTAAAAGTTATTGATAACAAATATTATAATCATGATTATACTAAATGTCCCGATTTTGAAACAAAGGATTCTATAAATTTGAATTGTTCAAAGTTCTCTTCAAACCATTTATCAATGTTGAATTTTAAAGCAAAAAAAATTTTAGGACAATCATTAAAGAAACTGGCCTGGTTTGACGGAAAATATTAAATTTTAAACAAAAGCAACATTATGATGAAACAAAAATATACATATATTTTTATACGTACAAATGGAAGTTCAACTTTCTTTTAACAATAATACATGTAGTTATGGAATTTGCAATGGTTCATTCTTTAATATTTAGCATTCAAACGACTAACAAAAATAAAAATAATTATTCATGACACATTTCTGAGAAATTGCTTATGCTTCATGTAAAATTCCTGATACATTTTCCCATAGGGATATTAAAAGAAGTTTTTACCTTTATATAAAACAAACAAGTGTATGCTTTAGAATCTTGATATTCAATATATTTTTTAATTAATGTGAAATGTTAACATGTTACTCTACCAATAGGAGCTGGAATTGTAATTAATTACGTGGCAAACGTTCTACTGCTGTAAATTACATTTGAGCGGATAAGTTATTTTTGTTTATATTTGTAGGAATGATTTTTTTTGCGACGTTATCTCTTGTCCATTTCTAGTTTACACACACTTTAATTTCTTTTGGTTTCGTTCATAGTTTTTGTTCTTTACATCAATACTTTTTAAAGCTACTATCGAGTCATTATTTAAATTTGCTCTATACACTTATACACTTCATTAAAATGTCCATTTCCATTTAATTTAATATCTTAAAAACATTAAAGGCAAAGTATTTGAAAAGTTTTCTGAAATTGCCGTTTTTATCGATAACCCAAAGAAGATGAAGATATGGGGGGGTTGATTGCGTATTGATATTGTATTTTGGTAATTTCGATTTTTTACCGTTCATGTCGTACATGTAATGGATCATCGCAGGATTTTGTGCATCGTAACTTTCATTTACACTGGAATATTAATACTGATTTCAGGCTTACTATTTCAGCGCAAAAGCTAGAGTCAACATAGATAATGACATTGTTCCTTCATGAAATTAATTTATGGGAAAGTCTTACATTAAAGCTGCAAATATTTATCGATTTGAAATGGGGAAATACGCGAATATAATAGGCAAATGACCATTTGGTAGCTAGTTATGATATTTCTCTAGAATTAGTCAGCTTAAGAAGATTGCATAGAATGCGTTTTATTTATATTTGCTATTTAATAAGGGCGTGACATATATGCATTATGAATTACTATATACCTGAGATTTTATATTAATGCTCATTAAATTATAAATTTATTATAGGCTAATACAAAATGGAAAACATATAATTAATAATTAATACTGTTCACTCCCAGCAAAAGATGAACACTCATTTCAGCGGCACACGATTACTCAACGTAAAAAGATATCTCGAGCCCAGTATTCGAATTCGGCAGTAATCATGTACTTTGATGTCATGTCTTTTCTTAAATCGATACACGGAGTTTCAAGTATCGCTGTGACATATGTTGTGAATGAGTCACAAATCCAAATTGTAGCTGTGAATTCTAGTGTGAAGTCGGATGTCTTTGAATGAGATTTGATGTTAATTGGTTGTAAGTTATTGGGATTGGATGAGTGTCGAGTTTGTCGGTCATCGGCAACTAATATGATTGTGAGGTGTGTTTTGTTGATGAGCAGGTATGATGGATAGAACCTTTCAACAAGGTATCCAGAATGATATCGAGATAATTGATGACTTCATTATTGATCGCAAAAAATCAATATTTATAACTTTGTTGGAAATCGGATTACTATCAGCAACTAATGCGACGATCGAATGATACACTTGTGGAATTTCTGAGGGAGCGAGTACAGTCCATTTTTAGTCTTTTTCTTTATTCGGTCATAGAGTATACTTACATCGACTTAATGTTTAAATTTTTTATTTAATTATGAATTAAATAAGAATTTAGATTCATGGATTATTAATTTTGGTTTAAGAGCGCGTTGATATTTTTCCATATCCAACATATCCATGATCAACAACATTAACAAACAGAACAGTTCCATTCTCCAAATAACAGCATCCGGCATAACCCTCGGCAACATCATATCTCACTCGGGGTAATCCACCCTCCAAATCAATCCTGAGATTGTACTTCCTACAACTATCCACAGCTTTGTGGTTCATTTGGTTTTGTGTCACCGCCACAAATCAAAATCTCCGGTCGATAATTGCTCTCGTATGTCAGCGGAAGCATGACCGATGATGCGGTGAGTGGGTATAATCTCGAGAACCCTGAGATATTGGGTAAGCTTTTGATCACGGTTTTGGTTGAGTAGTCGAATAAAATTGATTTTGTAGCTGGCGAATATGAAGATTGTGTTTATGCGATCAGGGAGTACGTGTGTTATTGATAAGGTAGAAAGGGAAACTGTGCACACATGTAGAAAGGCACAAAAGAAAAACTTACGTGTCAATAAGAAATTGAAAAGGTTTTGTCAATTTCTTGATAAACCTCATAAATAGGATTATTTATTTGTAAATCATTAGCAGCTGCAGCTTTATAGAACTCGACCGATTGGCAATCTTAAAATAATCAAGAATGCATTAACTATGCCGAAGAAAATCTAATTTTTTAAAAAATTTACTCACAAAAGCATTTTATTTTACCATCGAGCAGCATCCAACTCTAGCCAATAAACACAATCAAATTTTGAATACTCATCTTTCGCTTTTAACATTTTTCTGACCACTCGCCATCTCAACCAGCATTCTGTGCCAAAAACGCACTGGCCGAACAAAAAGTGTAGGTTCAGCATCCTGAATTTGTTCGTGTCTAGATTGTATTCGGCTGGTTATTTTGCGTTGAGATAGTTGGTTAGTTTGGAGATATCTATGATTTTTATGGTTAAGAAAAGAATTATCTTCATCGAGAATTACTATTACATCGAATTTTATACGCAAAATAATAATAGTAATAACTAGTTAAACCTGCCTTTCAATATACTTCCATTCTCCTAATGTACTCGACATTTACATAATTAGCCCAGCCCACTGGCTACCGTGGCAACCACAGAAAACGCCAAATCAAATCTATTATTGATCATTATCGCTTCATATTATGTATGTTTTACATTTCATGCTAAAGAAATGAAAAGAGGCGATCGTGTTGATTAGTTTTTATCTGAGCCTTTCGGAGACTATTTTATTCTATAACAACTATTTGGTTTCTTTTTAGAAATTTGTATGTGTTCCAAAAAGGGCGGTAAATCGGTGTATTGTATTATATATTAATGTTTAGGAATCCTATATTTTTTGAAAAGCCGTTTATTATACGAATTACGCGTAACGCAAATTCTACATGTACATTTAGAGCACGTGCCAAATCAAAAAAAACCTTTTTAGAATTCAATAAATTTTCCAATAAAGAAGTAATCAGAAATGGTGCGATGAAAGTTTATAAGATGAATTGAAAGACGAGTTATTAAAAATGTCTTCGTATAAAAGATAGATAAATAAACAGACGGTTTATTAGAGAGGCACATATTATTTATTTAAATTTATTAATAATAATGATTCAAATTAAATATTATAATAATGTTATTAGCATGAACTCGTTCAAGGTAAATAAAATATATTGAGATAACGTAACCAATGCCGATATTGATTATTACAATTAATCTTTATGGTTGATATTTTTAATACTTAATTGGCAGTTCAAATAACGTATTTAAATCCAAGTTCTATGCAGTGTCTAAAATTCGGTTTTTAATTTCTACAAACAAATGAATAACTTTACTTGCGAAATCCAGTAACTTTGGGACGCGACATCTCGACGTCCAATTGTCCAATTTTGGACAAAAATAGGTCCATTTGGTTCGTCTAATCTACAGTAGACGCATTACATATACATGTATATGATTCTATTTTGATCAAATTGGACAGTTGAATGTCAAGATATTGCGTCCCAAATTACCGAATTTTTTCAAAAATATTTGTTTAAAAATTTCGCGTAGATTGATTGAAAAATGAAAAATCAATCGCTGATTGGATTGCGAATACTGAACTACCAATAAAATATAATAAATTTTTGATCAACCCGGAAAAACAAATCAGATGCAAAGAAATGAAAAAACAACTTCGATTCTAACCTAACCTTAACCCACCTCAAATTTTATAAACCACTTTAATATCAATTATATTACAAGATGTTTCTTCCGGTATCAGTATGTTCCATCCAAATTACCAACTTTTTCACTAAATTTTGTAGTACATGTATATATTCGAATGTTTCATCAACGGATCGAATCACGAATTGTTTTCCATAGGTGGTGTTGTTCTATCAGGAAGAAGACGAATAATAATGCAAAGGTTGTGTTCTCACCAATAGCGATTTTGCTGATACATGTCTTTTAATTTGATCTTATTGTCTCTGACTTTAAGATTATTTCTAAATAAAGCAAACAATTGTACGTGTACTATAATTACTCTCACCTTGATGCTGATCCAATTAATATTATTTGTTGTCGCGATGTTCCAATGTCCAAGCAAAACTTCGGGGAAAATTAGTGATTCCTCCTATATCGATATATATAGTAATTTCAATTACATGTAATTGAATGATATTGAACGTGTGTTACATTGTAAATTACTTGTAAACACATCACATTACGCGAATGAAAAATTAATTTCTAATAAAAGTGCATGTATTGTTAAAATAATAGAAAATATACGCGCTAATACAGACTTTCCTCCATATAATCACGCCCTTGGAACAGCAAAGAGTGTGACTATATAAGAGGTGACTGTATAGAGGGGAGACTGTATATATTCTTTTTAAAAACCGTTATAAAAATATAGCGTTCATATGAAATTTATAATTATCTATAAGTGAAGGAAGCTTATTGAGCGGTCACACGACAATATAAGGGATATATGACTCCTCTGGGAAAACAGGTACCGCATGCATTAACTTCAATGGTAAATTTTTAGCAGTTCGAAAAAAATAATTATATCCAGCTTCATTTGATAGCATAATCTAACTTAGTAATAAAAAAATAAGCCATGATTACCATCAGATGGAGAATATATTGGTGCGAGATTGTCAGAATTAATAATATGAGATTATAAAAATTCTTATCATTATTTTGTTTCAAATTTCTGTTGAACAAATAAAAGAAATCACTTCATAACTATAATAGTGAAACAATATAAGTGATTTTTCATTATCGTATGATACATGAATTGTATTGCATACATCCATTGAAATACATGGACAGTAAATTTTGTCATAATTCAAACTTGAAGAACTAATAGAAAATGTCGTGACGGCAATTTTACATGTAATTTGATTTCAGTTCAATCCCTAACCCTAACACCACACGATAAAGGATAATTAACGTTTTCTTGGGCATTTGACAACGACCCCATCCATGACAAAGCGATAGGCATTTTTTGCATGAAATTCAGCCAATCAAAACTAATGCATTGAACAATTAATGTTATTATTATGGGGTAATAATAAACGTGTTACGTTCTTGAATTGATCGAATTTGTGTGTTACATTGCTACGCATCCCCTTTTTAGGCAATTAAATAAGGAGAAATGTTTGTAATTTCAATAAAAACAAAACAGCAAATTTATTTTGTCATATCCAGATGTAATTGTGAGGGGCTGGGCAGAAAGGCCTACCATTTACAGGTAGATATGTTACCGTTACGTGTATGTGTGCATGGAAAATTATTATAAAATACCCTTCTAAAACTTTTTTTTCTATCAACAGAAAAATTTGAAAACACATAAACGATGACAAGAATTTCTTATAACTTCGTATTCTTGCTCCTAATTCTCGCGCTTGTGGCGATTTCCGGATTTGCTGCACCATATATTCAATATCCCGGTGGTAACGGTAACGGCAAAACAGGTAAAACATAATTTTATTTAATACAGTTAATGAATCTTGGACTCTGCAATGTTTACTAAAAGTTTGAAATAGGTTGTGTCCGCAATTCATGTGGAGTATGCTGCTCCCCAGGAAAAATGTGTCCCGATTACTGTATCGCGACGGCGGCGGTTTAATAAAACTTCCTTGGCCTACATACAATTATAATACCAGTGGATTTATAAATATTTTTATAATATTTGCACAAAAATGCATCAAAAATATTACTTTAGTTCTCATGTGCGTAATTACATGAAAACACCACGATAAATTAGACGTATGAAAAATTATAATATTTTTAATAGTACACTGTGTGCAAAGTTAACTAAATGCAATAAAAGCTACATGTAAATGAAAGTGATAGCAACGCTCAGTGGATGATTGCCATTCATGCAAATTTTACTTTTATGTTTTAAGCAGAGATGCTAGACAATAAAAAGCATGCTATTCGTCGTGCAACTAACAAATTAAAATTCTATTAAAGTAAAAAAAAACAGTAATCAATTTCTTTTTGATGAAATGGAATATCTCTAATTTGCACCATTAGAGAATGAATGAAGAAATTAATAAGCGAATAATAACAAATGAAAGTTTACCTCGTTCTAAGCATATAAACCAACACTTTCAGATTCGGAATAAATGTCCATAATACATTAAGTAGTCACAAGTTCTACAGAACCAAATAATTTTACCTGATGCTGCAATTTATTATTAGAATCCTATTCCAGAGGTAAGGCCAATTACTGAGGAATTTGAATGATTTATCAGATCTATCTGGGATGGATGCACTCTCAAACCGAATATATTGCATTTTCAGTATTACAATTCCTTAGAATATTTTACCACTGTAATCATAAATCCCATAATTCCTTAATTTTTATATATTATTATGATTCTGCATCATAACAATCGCTCATTGGTAATAATAATAATTCCCGTAGGATCAATAATTCACACCGCGTGTTAACCTCTCTTGTCAATCCCGTGCAATCACAATTATCATAATAATCCCTTTGCTCACCATCATTATTAAAATATTGTAATTCAATAATCCATTTTTACAATTACTATTATCCTTATTAATATTGAATGCTCCGTAACAAGATCTTGAGAATTATAAATAACATCTGATATCTATATCCATTGAGTTTTTGCTATCTCATGCTTTATCGTGTATTGTTTATCTCTATTATCATTACTTCCTTTTTAACAACCTCCTTTTACTCTTCAAAATCTAAATTGGAAA